CTTTGAAGACTTCAATAGTTGCTTTGGCACTAATGTTGAAATGATGCATGCTTTGGAGACCTTGCTCAAGGGTTCTACGTCCAAAATTTTTCCATTTTCCATGGAAATGACGGTTACACATCCGTACGACGAGACAAATCCCCTTCTTTGCCATGTTCCATCGCATAAAACAGCAGTTTCCACATTGTCTTCACCGTCCTCAGTCTTGGAGTTGTAGATTTCTGTGCTGCATCCTTTATTGTTTGTTCAGCAACATCAGTTGCAGCCCATTGTATCACTTTCGTGTGCTCCCTAAATGGCTTTGAGCCAACTAGTGGTGGGATGTTCATGGTAGAACAGAGAACCGAGACATTGGGAGTTGCCCACAACCAATTGACCTCATTGCATATACCACTCTTCGATTTATGTAAAAAATAGCTATTTTTCTCTGGAGTATAAAATGTTTCAGTCCATTCACACGAGTTACATGTGGGAGAGAGACATGACCCATTGGTTTTGAACTGTCATCCATCAAAATGATGTCAATTGGATGGCATCATGGCAACATTTGATATATGGAGCGGTCCTACTAAAGAATGCCCGGGAATGCCCGGAAACGCCCGGGGAGATTCGTTGAATGCCCGGGAATGCCCGGGAGTTGGGAAAGAATGCCCGAGGAAAATTACGTTCATAATTACGTTAGTTTATACTAAAAAATCACTTATTTTATGAAATCACTTATTTTATGAAAGATGAAATAATTCTTGTGATATATGGCATTGCAAAGTACTGTTCACGGAATGTCCGGCTGTCAAAAAAAAATGCCCGGGAGTCGAAAATGAATGCCCGGGGTAAAATTACGCAAGTAATTACGATAGATAATGATTAACAAGTCTTTTATTTTTTAATCAGAAAGTTTCTTGTAATATATGGCACTGCAAAAACTATTCACAGAATGCCTGCCTGGGGAAAATTACGTACCGCCAATGTCTTTTTCAAATCTACTCAGAATATATCACTATCAGTGAAATATATTTTCGGTAGTGTAAAAAGATGTTTCTTCATCACATTATATATACGACATTTCAAAGGCTGAAATTCGTAGCATTACAAAGCCAGATAAATAATTTGTGGTGTTAATGTGATGAAGAAACATCTTTTTACACTACCGAAAATATATTTCACTGATAGTGATATATTCTGAGTAGATTTGAAAAAGACATTGGCAGTACGTAATTTTCCCCAGGCAGGCATTCTGTGAATAGTTTTTGCAATGCCATATATTACAAGAAACTTTCTGATTAAAAAATGAAAGACTTGTTATCATTAACTATCGTAATTAATTAATGCGTAATTTTACCCCGGGCATCCGGCATTTTCGACTCCCGGGCATTCTTTTGTGACAGCCGGACATTCCGTGAACAGTACTTTGCAATGCCATATATTACAAGAATTATTTAATCTTTCATAAAATAAGTGATTTTTTTAGTATAAACTAACGTAATTATGAATGTAATTTTCCTCGGGCATTCTTTCCCAACTCCCGGGCATTCCCGGGCATTCGACGAATCTCCCCGGGCGTTCCCGGGCATTCCCAGGCATTCTTTAGTAGGACCCTCATCACAGGATCGAAATATCAGTAAAACGATAACCACTTACTTTATCCACTGTACATAGACACTAAAGTATCACTATAAATTTCACCAGTGTTCCTGGCCGAGGCCGACTGCATGCGCTGCCTTATTAGAGTTTTCATCTTGAACACGACTGGTCGGACTGGATCGTGTACTTCGATTTTTATTCAATTTTTGAAGGGAATTTTGGCTTAGTTTTCCCCGCTTCTACACGGCATGTTGATTCCCTTGAAATCTACGACTCCTTCTTCATGATCTTGCCATTTTGTAAACAGAATGACTTGTAAAATAATCTTATAAAGAAGCTTTTAAAAATTGCTCTTTAAAGATGGCCGCCGAAGATGATATTGGAAATTTGTGTTGTATTTACAGGCAAATACTTGGTGTAACATGCAATAAAAGAGTAACAAAACAAAGTACAGATAGGGAGGGGAGGCTAGGGATTTATTCTGAGTAAAATATGCAAATTTAAATGAACCAATGGGATGGTTATTTCAACAGAATCTCGTTGCTATGGTGGTTGCTAAGGACCAAAACTACAAACAATGATATATTTTTCAATATTTTCCCGTTTTCTTCGCGCAAATAAAAAAAATAACGCCGGGAAATGAAAAAGCAATGATCAATGATGTATAATATGGTTGTTTCGAAAATTTGACTTTTTCACAAAAATATTGTCCCATACCACCTTTTAAAGGTAGGTTACAGTCCCTTCTGCGCATGTCTGTGATTGTTTTTGTCTGGGGACCCTCCACCGGAAGTTGGGCAACTCGGTTTGTACTCGGTCCAGTCTCATTTCTGGCAATAACACGCGCGTTGTTTTTTTCGCAAGCGAAGGAGTGAAGCTAGAAGTTTCCAAAATATACTGAGCTTTTTTGAGCGACAATCCTTCAAATAACGAGTTTTTGAGGCAACATGACGAGTAGGAAAGAATACCACGCTAGCAGGGATGCTTCCACAGTGTATCAAAGTGTATCTATTTTATTGTTTTCCTCGATGGAGAGCTTGCCATTTCTGTCTGCGTGTCCCCATGATATACCTACATCCTCAAGCTTCTACTAAAGGTTTTCAAGAAAAGAATCCAATGATAGGACATTTCACCCAACATAGCTGCTATTCACTGTGAATCCTTCAGTGAAATCGCTTGTTGAAGCCCATCAATCGAGGTTTTAATGACTATAAAATTCTCCGTTTATTTACTATTTTAAATTTTAATTATATACTATCGTTACATACGAACTGTTCTATCTCTTTTATTTACAAACTGAAACCCATATAATTAAGGCCTAAAAATATGATACTCGTGACTAGGAGTTGTCAATGAAAAAGTGTTAATGAGCAATTTGGAGTCAACATGTTTTGGATGACTGTTTATATATTATTGTCAGAGTGATAAATGATATAAATTAATCTACTTGACCGTGCTTTACTGTCTTTGACTGTCTTTTCATGGACAACTTGTGCTCACTTAATAGAAACACATAAAAAGTTTCTCTGATCAAAGTATATTTTAATCAAAGCACAGCCCTCAAAAACGAGGTCAGCATTTGGCAATGCCGACCTAAATGCGGTGAAGGCTATTTCAGATACGGTAGAGCACCTAGTCCCCAGGCCTTTACCAGCGCGACCGCGAAATTCAATATGGCGCCAAGCTAAGGAGTGGAGTTTAAATGGAGTTTATATTCTATAATTTCTATTGTTGTTTTTGATCTTTTTATTCTTTTTGGTTGGTAGAACTTATATTCTGATATGCCAGGTATCTTACTCTTTACCTGATTAATCTGAAAAAAGATTTTATAACAGAATTTTTCTCAAACATAGTTTAAATTAATATCTATATGTTTCAGTGAATTATGCTTTAAAAGTAAAAAATAGATTGGCCAAGATAAGAAATTTTTGACACTTTCAACTTCAATTTTGAAAATTGTAATAACAGCCTAGTTTATATTCCATAATCCACAGAGCTTGAAAATCCATGTGGAATGTACAAATTATTGACTTTTAGAGTGAAGTTCTGTTTGAATTTTTCAGGTACTAAGTTATATATAGTTATCTTGCTATCGTCTCTATCTAGCCTGGCACAGACCGTTCAAGATTGCAGATTGCACTGTTTAATTAGCACCAACACTAACAGTCATGGTGGCAGGGATGGATCCAGCATGATCTGGTAGAAGGGGGGGGGGTTTGATCTGCCAGCTCTAATGCCGAGTTATGTTGGTCATGCATGCCACCCGCCCATCAACTTACAGGTCAAGTCTTGCTTGACTACTGTATTTGAATTGTAATTGTTGTTCACAGTTCGCTTATCATCATGTTATTACTCAAATTACTGTATCTCATTTTGTCTCTAATAATTTTTTATTTTATCATGAAAAATAACACCCCCCTCAGGCCAGGGCTAGGGGGGTGCACCCCCCAGTAAAGCCATCCCTGTCATTAACAGTAGGGTGCAATGGACCAAGCCATCCCCTTTAATTTGTTTCTTTAGTTGGGGAGGAGTTCTAAGGCCCTTCATAATTTTTGAAGATTACATTACATAATACAATATTAATTTTACTCATTTGCAAACAGTAAGTTACAAATGAGCTTTGTATTCCATAGAATGCAAAGTATTTAACTATTTCTGGGTAAAGTTAGATTTTAAGTTATTTTTAAGAAATTAAAGCTGATCACATAATCAATCTATTTTTTGGGTCACTTAAGGATATACCCTGCAAAAATAGCACTTTCCTTTTATTTTACAACTTGAAATTCACATTCTATTAGACACTAGGGGCATATGGGGTACTCATTTTCCAGAATCTTAATTATGGGTAGGATGAAATCTCAGTGTTCCCCGTGAAGGGCCCCCTTGACCCAGGGCCTTCCTTAGGGATTCTTCAGGGGGGTGTAAGGTCATTTCAAACGATTGAAGAACAGGGCCGCCGAGAGGTTGACGGGAGCTCAGACGAAATAATATTAATTAATTATTATTAATTTATTTATAATAATTATTAATTTAATTAATTAATTATTAATTTAATTTATTAATTAAATTAATTATTTAAATTAAATTTTCCAAACACTGCATAAAGGTTAGCCCAGGGACCTTCCTTGACAAGGCACACCCCCTGGGCCCCTGGCTCTTGCTAGGCACAGCCCTTAGGAGTTATGCCACTGCGGAGTGAACATCAGACCATTATTCCAGCCGGCTTGCTGTACAACTTTCTATTTACTTGAGCATAAAATATCATAGTAGAAGAGCTAATTCAACCATAAAATGTTGAGTTCATAAACCATGGTATGCAGGGCAAAGGTACTGAAACGTCTAGTGGCAAGGGTGACCAGAGGGTGGGTACAATTGCATCTGACTGATTTCCCAATGAGTATGGAATACTCAGGATTACCAAGTTAATTGGTCTTGTGGAATTTTATGTGTATTATGTCTATAATACCAATGGAGAAAGTGCATTACCACTTGCAATCTACAGCATTTATTTTTCACAATTCTGCAAACTATTAATGGCAGCTGGCAATGTCACTTGAGCCCCCCTAAAATTTCCATTTGTATAAGCAAAACACACAAAATAACTAGAAAAGTGCAAAAGCAATTAAAATTTATTCAGATATATTCTTGAGTCCCCCCAATATTGATTTACTTCCGATGGCCTTGTAACATCCTGCCCAGATTTTTTTTAATTCTATATAAACGCCCTGTATACAAGGTTAGTACCCTATTGAATAACTTGCACACCTGACACCAATATAAAGAAAAATGGGCCGGTCATTGCTAATGTGCCAGTTGAAAGGTAAGCATGAGCTACTAAGTGTGTTAGCTTATTTAGGTCATGGAACAAGATAATTACAAAAGTAGTAAAAGAGGACACATTAGTTGTGAATATGTTTTTTTTGCTATCCTGAGTATCCTCACGATAATGTTCACCCAGCATGAAATGAAAAGGTAGTGCACAACCTGTGCAGAGTCCATTTTGCATGTTGGCACACAATTTGGCATTAAAATTGTATATTGTTGATTGCTTAGACAGGTGAGGACTCTGAACCCGGCATTGCTTGACGAGTAAGATACTTAGCGTACTAACCCCAATTACACATACCACATGAAATATCTAAGGTTACAAGGTGGCAATATATTTGTAATACTAATTATATACAATATCTCAAATGCTCAGATGTATGGTAAATTAAATTTGAAGTGCACCCCCCCCCCTTTAGATTTTTACACTCCCCTGTTGGCCAAGGGTGTGTACCTCTGTCAACCCCCCTCCCCTCCCCCTATAAACCCAACTGTATGTTGGGATGGATTTACTGGGGGGGGGGGTGCACCTCCCTAGCCCTGGCCAGGGGGAGGGGTGCTATTTTTCATGATAAAACAAAAAAATATTATAGAGACAAAATGAGATACAGTAATTTGAGTGATATCGATAACATGATAAGAAGCAAACTGTGAACAACAATTACAATTCAAATACAGTAGTCAAGCAAGACTTGACCTGTAAGTTGATGGGCGGGTGGCATGCATGACCAACATAACTTGGCATTAGAGCTGGCAGATCAAACCCCCCCCCCCTTCTACCAGATCATGCTGGATCCATCCCTGCCACCATGACTGTTAGTGTTGGTGCTAATTAAACAGTGCAATCTGCAATCTTGAACGGTCTGTGCCAGGCTAGATAGAGACGATAACAAAATAACTATATATAACTTAGTACCTGAAAAATTCAAACAGAACTTCACTCGAAAAGTCAATAATTTGTACATTCCGCATGGATTTTCAAGCTCTGTGGATTATGGAATATAAACTAGGTTGTTATTACAATTTTCAAAATTGAAGTTGAAAGTGTCAAAAATTTCTTATCTTGGCCAATCTATTTTTTACTTTTAAAGCATAATTCACTGAAACATATAGATATTAATTTAAACTATGTTTGAGAAAAATTCTGTTATAAAATCTTTTTTCAGATTAATCAGGTAAAGAGTAAGATACCTGGCATATCAGAATATAAGTTCTACCAACCAAAAAGAATAAAAAGATCAAAAAACAAGAATAGAAATTATAGAATATAAACTCCATTTAAACTCCACTCCTTAGCTTGGCGCCATATTGAATTTCGCGGTCGCGCTGGTAAAGGCCTGGGGACTAGGTGCTCTACCGTATCTGAAATAGCCTCATCCTCGTCCCCAGGCCCAAGCTCGGGCGGCCCTCACAGTGGCCCTGGGTCAGGCTGTTGATCTGCCTCGGAATTCCGACGCAGAGGCTTGGTCGCACAGGATATGCCTTTCTCCCTAAAAACATGGCGACCGCAATGAATGCAAGGAAGGCTTACTACAAGAAGCAATATATTTTGCACTTGTAAAAACAAATAATACTCAAATTAAGTTAAAAGAAGAGCAGAAACAAGCTGTTCGTCAAATAGTAAATGGAAGGGATGTTAAATCGTTGATATACCAACTTTTACCTTCCATGTTCAACTACATTAATTCGAGAAAAAGAAATATTTCTGCCGTGTGAACAGAAACAATTGTAATCGTGATTTCTCCGTTAAACGCACTGATGGACGACCAAATAGACAAGCTAAAAACTAACATGGGTGTTAAGGCAGTTGTTTTACGCCATGATGATCATGATCAAGAAATGAAAGGTGTGTACAAAATACTTCATTTTGTTATTTTTGTATATAATACATATGTATAGACCCCTTGCCTTTTCTGGCAGGAAAATCTTTATGAAGCTCCCAATAGAGCTTATGGTGACATGTATTGAATATGCATCACAATATTATGGAGATCAATAAAGAACATTACATGACCTGTCTAGGAGATTTATCCATGCATGACAAGTGAAGTTCCCATTTGACTAATCAGACATAGAACAGAGTGGCATTTATAGAAGTGACATTAATATTTAAGAGTATCATTAAGTTTCATCTATTCTGGATCACCATTCTAAATAAAAACCAACTGGTTGGAAAGTTTATTGAAAATATAATTAACATTAAGCAATCACTATGATTGTTCTTGCCATGTTGGGGAAATGTTTCCCTTATTTTCTGGTCAGCAGCTATTAAAGTGGTATGCATTAAATAAATTTCTTTTTCTTTTTACAGCTTATGTATAAAAAAAGTATGGATGTAAGGCCTCAGAGGTTCGCCAACACATGAGGACAAAAATAAACAATTCAACACTGTAAAGTGTTGCAAAGTGCAGAAAGGCAAACAAGAACAATAGTCAAAAACAGAAACACCAGGCTAGTTATTAAAAATATTATTGCCCAGCTAATAATTCATAAAAGGGGCATATTCAAAAAACATTTGGTATATAAAAATATTTATTGAGTAATGTTTCATCACATTACAGGTGACTTGTTGCTTGTTTTTAACTAGAATAGTCAATAACTTATTTGAGGACTATGTTTTGAGGCAAATTTTAACCCATTGAGCTGCAATGAGCCCCAGTGCTTCCTACTTACTTTTTTTTACTTGTCTAATGCCAGACGATTAAATTACTTGTCAATGGAGAAGCTCTGCAGCTTAATGGGTTAATGTAATTAACTTTACATGTCAATTATAGTTATTACCTAGATGGTTTAATAACAAAGGTCAATAAATATGGCATTGCATGGAGGTAGAATGATTAATTGGTGCTTGTGTACACTGCAATGGTTTTCTTTAGGTTATGTTTTTGTTTTGACTTGTTATTAAACCATTGGTGAAAACTATAACTGATCTGCAATGTTTAGTATAACCAATTTCTTGTATAAATATTTATATTTGTAATATTAGTATATATTTATTAATAATCGTATATATTTTTTTGCATTAAAAAATTAAGAGCGATGACTGATGAAGAACATTGTGTGTCATTTACTATTCCTACAGGAAAGTAGGATAATTTTCTTATAGGAATTCCTATAAGAGGATATGTCATACTACAAAACCAGAATAGTCAAAGTGATGTATACTTCAGGGATGGATCCAGCATGATCTGGTAAGGGGGGTGCAACTTTTTTTAGGGACCCCTATTTAAAAAATTTTTTGGGGAACAAATTTTTTCGCAGAGAGCAATGACCTTTCCACCCCCCACCCCCCCACAACTTTTTAGGCAAAAAATTTTCCGGACGATTACGTTGCAATTGGTTTCCAGTGACCTTACCCATCTATCAACTTGTTCCACTATTGCAAAGTCTTGCTTGACTACAGTATTTGAATTGTAATTGTTGTTCACAGTTCGCTTATCATCATGTTATTACTCAAATTACTGAATCTCATTTTGTCTCTAATAAATTTTTGCTTTATCATGAAAAATAGCACCCCCTGGCCATGGCTAGAAGGGTGCACACACCCCAGTAAATCCATCCCTAATGTACTTTCCAGAAGGGTGTATTTGTTAATAAATATTTCAGTGACAGTGTTTATAAATGAACTTTAGCAACAGGTAGCTAAAATGCTTCTTAAGGCAGATTTCCAGTCCTCTCACAAAGCAGCTCGCTGCAATGCATGAGCACTTTCATCCAATCACAATGCTGAACTGTTAATTTTAATTAGATGCAAGCACTGGAAATCCGTCTTTAGACTTGACACATAACTGGTTGTCTGGTTAAATTATTAATATGCTGTATTCTCTAAATTTGCTTCAATAGTTCAATAGTTTGGATAAATAATTTAATTCCATCTAGAAAATCCCTTCAATATTTTGTGTGTGAAAAGCCAGCTTTTCACCTTGGGTTAATAACAATCGAGCTTGTGGTTTTCAAACAACACTGGATCCATTGACCATTGTGAACTGTTCATTGTGATTGTGCAAGCAGAACAAAATGCTGCCATTCACTTTCTGAATCAAGTATTTGATAAATACTAAATTTTCGTAGATTACATTATAAATTTATAAACTATTCAAATTGTCAAATACAATGTATAAACTTGCGTTGACGCAGACAGATAGGTGGAGGGCGACAATTTACACAATAATCTTGTAGACGAATTTACACAATCTTGTAGACGTTGCATACACAAGATAAATTTCTATAGTCTTTAGTAGGACCGTGACTGATATCTGAGTCTTGAACTGTAAAATATATATCTTTATCATTCAATTCGTTTCAACTTTCAGATGTTTTAATCCTTCAAATATCCATGTAGTTTGTTTCCAGAAGTCTTGAATGTGTCCATACCATAGTTTAAGCAAAAATTTACATGTAAATATCTGATTTCTACCATAATTTAATACAAGTTTATTGAATTGCCACTCTTCGAGCCAGCCATTGTTTATTGTTAACCCGCATTTCCTTTCCACCCGCAACATTCCTTTAGAGCAAAAGAACCAATCACAATCAACTGCTCAACAGCCTGACCCAGGGCCACTGTGAGGGCCGCCCGAGCTTGGGCCTGGGGACGAGGATGCAATATACCTGTGAAAATTTATCTCTTCCGAGCAAAGATACGGCTAACTCTGCTATATATTAATTTCAATAACAATTTTGCCATGCGAGGGACACGACCTATTTGTAGTAAGCCAATCTTAATCCCTCCATTGTATGACACACGTGGAGAGACGCTAAAAATGTGTAGTGAGCAAGTTTTGTCCGATCTTGTTTAAGCTCGCCCGTGTGACGTCATTACTTGTCTAAGCTTGCTTGTGTGATGTCATTACTCCTCCACCTCCTCACTCCTCCTCCTCACTTCTCCTCAAAAAAAGGGGAACGGTACCTATATTACTACTTCCAGCCATGTTGAACGTTCAAAGTACGTTGAAAGTAGTGTAAAGAAATGCTAAATATTGTTTTAAGTCGTGAAAAATTAAGTTTGGTTTATAAAGTTTATCGAAGTGTCAGTGGTTTGGACAAATGTAAGTGTGAAAAAGTGTATTCTGTAACCTAAAATATTGCACTTATAATGTAAACAGTTGTAATTTTCTTTGTTTTCTTTCTTTATCTTATATAGCTTTAGATTATATTTTATGCAGATTTGTTTGTATATTAAATAAATAACCAAACTGTTGTTATTGTTGTCTTGCGATATTTTTAGATAAAACCCTGTGTAGACGGCCTGGCGTCAAGGATAATGATTGGATATTTTTAGAATCAGCATATACATTTTTTGCATTCCTTATCCGAACCCAACCTCATTCCCAGGGTATTTAGGAAATACCCTGGTATGGGCTGGTCACGTGCCTCGTCCAAAATTTAGCGCCCGAGGGGGTGTGGGGAAAGTATCAAATTACATGATTCCAGTGGAGATATTTTGTTTAACAGTTAAAAACATTATTAAGTTCAAAATACTTGCTAATTTTTGTTTATTTTCTTTGCTTTGAATTTACAAGAACATTCTTACATTTTTACCAACAGTCAAGTCAAGAAACCAAGCAAATCGTTACTCACAGTGCTCTCTCGTGTTGTTATTCAATGCCGTCTCTTCACACTCGAGCGCGGTTTTATAACAAACGTTTATTATGAGCTTTTCAGTCATCATTTCTACATATGTAATGTTTTTAAAATGAGATTTGTCCTTTCTTGTAAATGTTTATATGCTTTGCACCGATTTAATTACTTGTTACTACGTCTACGGGTCTTGTTTTAATATAAGATTGAAAGAAACAGTATTGTATTGTCTGCCGTCTGGGACTAGAGCCCAATCAATATTAGCAAATGTAAACATTTGATACTAGCCAAACAGAGAAAGTCTGTCAGTGATTATAAAATTTTGGATTTAGTACATAGTAGTCGGTGATTATAGTCAGGCTTTAGCCTTTTTCTTGGTCTTTATTAATCATAATATTTTCCTAATATACTAAATCTATATATCACAAATTTACAGTGTCAGACGCGCACAGACTGTCATACGAATAAACATAAATTTTCGAGTTTTCTACATCTACTAACATTTTTAAAGTTTTCATTGTGAATCATCTGTTTATTTCTAGTTCATTAGTCATTAATATGCTCTAAAAAACAAGGCTCTCAAATATATTTGTATATTTATTTGATAGTGTCATAGTGATATATGCATTTACAAGCAATCCTGGATATGATAAAGACGATACAAGCTGTCCATTAAAAAATAACGGTATTCTATTCCACAAAGCAAAAGATTTAAATCTCACTTGTATTATTAAGAATATATATAAAGCGAAAAATTTAAACTTGTGTGAGTCGTGTCAAAACGAAAGCTGTTTATAAAATTTATAAATGTTGTAAACACTACTATATTAATATAAAGTGCCATTGAAAGACATAATATAGTATACTGTCGTTTGACTTATCTTTGATGTATGATTTTAATACTGTAGATTTTCAAGAGACAGCTAGATTTTAACATATACCATGATTGTTGAGTTTCAGAAATGCCAAGGGCCAATGCAGGAAGTTTTATAAGCTTTTATAGTCAACAATCTGGATACAGTTGGCGTCTTGGCGTTGTTGGCAATATTTCGGAAATCAAATGATCTCGCTATTTCGTTGCAATTCCATGCCACATCTCATCAATAAATAAATTCTTTTGGTTCGAGTATCTAGATATACTTTACTAACAGTTAAATAAATGAATAACCACATTGTTCGGTCTAGATATATATATTTTCTTGTACTGCTTTATATTGCCACGCCGTCCACGCGTGCTTTCTCAGTGACAAGTCTATAAGTTGAAATCTGATCCAACTTGCTTGAATTGTAACTCGACACTAGATTAGAAAGTCACATCACGATAAATATTAATTTTTAATTGCAGTTCTTTTCACGAATAATCACGATTTCTTTGAAGATTCAATGGTTATTGTTTATATTTAGAGCGATCTGATTAATTGTGACAATATATACTCACTCCCCCGACCCTAGTAAACAATATGCCATTTTACGCAAAATCCGCGGGTCACGTGACCAGACCAGGGTATTTCGCTCCCCAAGAGCAAATACCCTGGGTATGAGGTTGATCCGAACCAGGAATCGCTAACAAATTCACCAGAGGTTTTTCCTTTTTCTTCGTGCGTTTTCTCGCAGTTTGTGTTCGCCAAACCTAAAAACCTCTGGGCCAGGGTAGTCAAAATAAGGAAGAAAAAAAGGATTTTTTGGTTTTTCAAAGTGGAAGCACTGGAAAGAAGGGAGAATTAAAACTAAAGGGTTGAAACATCGGCTAGATGACATTTCTAAGGGTTTAAACCTCGGCTAGATGACATTTCTAAATGCCTTAAAATTCACAATTTGTAGATTCTATGTCTTTTTGGACATACCTTCACAACTGACGTAGTAGATTCAATAAACGATTGATTTTTCATATGTTTTTACATGAAACACTCGAAGGGTTTTTTTGCACAATGTGTTCCATAAGTAGGTTGTTCTCGTGACAGTCCGAGCCATTTAAAAGGTTTACAGAATTTCGAGTGAAGAAATAATCGATGATCCTATTTCGATCTTAACTCACATTGGGGCCCCGTGTGAAATTGCCGGAGAACAACCTACTTATGGAACACATCAAGCGATGACCCGCCTAGCCTCCTCCACAGGCAACTCTAACAAAATTGGCAAAAATGTGAATATTATAGGGTTACGCTCTGGGGGAGAAAAAACGAGGGGAGTTGCCTGCCAAATCCAAACATAATTTTGATAGTCTGCGCATATCTCATTGCGCATGACAAACTCGTTTTACTGGGGTGTAGTAAGTAAATTTGTCACTTTAAGCAATGCAAATGGCGTCGCACAAAGTGTGTTTCACTGAGGAAGGGAAGAGAAAAATTTACGAAGCTTTAACTTTTGCGGGGCCTTTAGATCCAAGTAACTATTTGACTTTCAAGTTGCTCGGGCTTAGAAATATCGCTAGAAGCTAGTTCACAGAAAGAAGCTGCTACAAAATTCTGGCATTGCTTGTTTTCTGTGGACCCAATGATTATTTTATATACGAAAGAGAGACCTTTAACTTTCCAGTGTGAAAACCGTGAAAGTGGGGAAAGAATAGAGTATAGAGGTTATGTAAGTGTTATAGTCAGGCAGATAGAGGATCATAATTATGGAAAACTTATGATATTGTGGGACAATTCTATTTTGCCTTCATATTGTGCCCTGAAGACTAGTAAGTATGTTTCTGTATGTTGGGCGCGTTAAAATTTCTTGTGGGCTCCTGCCGACATGTTTTTCTTCGAATTTTGTATTAATCTCTATTACAGTTAAAAAATGTGAAATTTCAGCTACATTTCTAATACAAATTACTTGCATCAATAGAAAGCTAATAAAAAACTACATATAAGACAGTTAAATGGTTAGTTGGGATTTTCAAGCAGTTTTCGAGTTATTGCTGTTTCAAATGTGAAAAATAAGACAAAATCTCGCAAAAATTCTGGGTACTAGTCTGAAAATACGCTTTCAACCGCTCAAAACTAAAGAACAACTTGAAAAACCCTGGTAACCGTTTAAATGTCTTATATGTGGTTTTTTGCAAGCTTTCAAATGATGTAAATCATTTGTGTTAGAAATGTATTTGAAATTTCACATTTTTTAACTGTAATAGAGTTTAATACAAAATTCGAAGAAAAACGTGTCGGCAGGAGCCCACAAGAAATTCTAATGCGGCCAACATACAGAAACGTACTTACTAGCCTTCAGGGCACAATATGAAGGCAAAATGGAATTGTCCCACGATATCGTAAGTTTTTTTCCTTCTATCTGCCCGACTAATAGTTGCACAGGGCGAAAGCCTCTGATTGTAACTAGCAGAATTTTAAAAAGAGTTACGAGCGATTTAACAATTCAGAGCGACGAAGCAACTGATAATGACAAATATGAGAGTCAATTCAATGCCCATACACTTGAGCGTGAAGACGATGATGGAATTCATGGAGATATTGGCACAACTGTAGATGAGATCATAGAAGGAACTTTGCATCGTTACTTTTGCTACCCGAATTTTAGACCTCTTCAAAGATATATTATCAAAGCAATACTCAGCCATACTGGAAAGTTTGTATGTTGTGCCAAAGATCTTTGGCATGTAGAAATTATATATGCGCCAAAATTTGGCACATAATTAGCTTAAAATCTGAATGTTCTCGTTTTGGCGTGGCATGACAGTCTATCACTGACAGTTTGACAGCATGAATGACTGAATGACACATATGTACCAAATTTCGGGACAACTAGAGCTTGAAAGAATGAAAAGTTGAAATTCACGTATTTCACGAAAATGAAACATTTTCTCGACACATATTTATGTTTCATTGCTACTGATGCTTTGGTGTCTTTCGACACATCGATGTAAATGTTTTGAAAGTTTTGTTTGTGGAAACACACAGCTCATCATTGAGCTCAAAATCTATTATTGAGCTCAATGAATGAGCCAATATAAAAAGCTATATTTAAAAGAAGGTTTTAATTTGTACTAAATATCAGAACTATATTTTTAAAAGTTAAATAAAAAATATAGAAAAGGGACAATCACTGGACTCAGGAGACAGGAGCCTGAACACTTGAACAGATAATTTAATATTTAATTAAAGTACCGGTAGACAGTAGTAAAAAGTACGTGGTCAACACTCGACTAGTCAAGTGACTCAAGTGGACTGAAAGTGAAAGCCGAAAGGTATTGCATTTTGCTAATTTACATTTATATTAAAAGAGTTGAAAGAGGCTTGATTTGGATTATGAAAAATAGAAAGTCATTTCTAAATTATATTATATTTTCTTAATTATGAGTTATTTATGATGTACGAAAGGTAGCAGGTACTATAGCACTCACTAGGTCCAAGCAAAATTAATCTTAAATTAACGACATTATTCAGTTATATGTTTAATCGCAATTTCAATAAACACACATAATAACGTTTTTCAAAATTTTTGGACAAACAATTGAATAAAGAAAAAATAAACCACCAAGCTGGGCACAGATGCACAGTAGGCACAACCCATGAAACCACTAGATAGGACTAGGTGCCGATTAGGCTGCTAGGTCAGGGAAGCTCGTATATCTCTGAGTCAGAGACAAGTTTATTGGTGCCCAATGGTGCACTTGGGAGCACTATTTATTTTGCATAATGTGTATTCATCATAGGCTTCATAGCCAGGTAGTTTTACACTTCTTGAATGTCCATCTAAAGTTAGACTGCCAAACATACTTCTTGCTGTAAATTTAAACCAATATTATATTACCACTATAAATGCATGGCATTAGTAGCAGTACCTTTTTTGTCTTTTTCTCAGGTATGGATGAAATTGGAATTTTTTATGAAGATTTAGCAGAAGGTAAGAAAATACTTTGCAATTACCAATAAATTTAATTGGCGGTTCTGTTCAGAAATAATGAACTATGCACTATTTTCACTAAATCCCATAATGCTTTGTGCCGGGTATGCCATTTTGTACCCTAGCAATTACCTACAGGCATAATGCTATGTGTCTGTATAGTGTCATAAGGGCTTGGTAATCGCTGGGGTTGTTTTGGTACCCCCAGCACATAGCATAATGGGATTTAGTGAAAATAATGAATATTTTAAAGACGAAAAAAGGTATTTCATTTTGTCGTACAATACAATCAATCAATTAAAAATATATACAAAAATATGTGTTATTTTAAAAGAAATGCAATTTATCTCGTTGTGTTAGTTATTTTGTGTTGTGTTTGCCAAAAAGAGGCTTCGGGGGCTCACAGATGCTGTGTATGCAAAAAGATAGCCCATGTTATATGTGGTGATATTTCAGATGATGAGGAGTTATGACAGTAAGGTGATTTGCCTAAATTGTAAGACCAAAAAAACAGGTAATCTTAAAAGTTTATGCTTTTTCTGATATTTATTGGGCATGGATTGTAAATACAAAAGTCGATACAGTTCTGTAGTACAGAGGTAAAAACTTCATTTCTTTTTTCTTAGACTTACTAGATGCTGGTGAAATTCAATGTGGTGTCAGTGGAGACAGAAAAAGGAAAGCCACTACAACAAGTAACATTTTCTACAATTTGCTTTTGAAATACGATCTTTTTAATGATAACTGTACTGTTTTTACTTACCTGACATAAATGTATGATGTTTTAGCAATGTTTAGTGACTGTGATGTTCATGCAAGGATAAACTATATAAAACATATATTGCTTTAAATGTGAACTGGCTTGTTATGTTTTTGTTACTTGAAAATTATTTTTACCAAAAATTATGATATATTTGATGTACTGTACTTTGTACAACACAAGTAAGTGTTCTTCCACTGATTTCTAAATACAGACAAGCAGGTTGAAAATACAAGGCAAAGCCATACTTTAAGAGAAAATAAACAAATTTATACTTTAAGAGAAATTCCTTTATGGATTATTAATGATTATAAATGATTGCATTGTATATTTTCTACTAATCTACAAGTCAATGATCGGTGCCGGAAGAGGCCAAAAGTACCTAAGATTGATCAGAAAAATGGCAAAACGAATCCAAATCTTCTGCAATCTGTGTAACCTGCTATAGGTACAGTGCTATGGTTCATTATAGACTTTATAGTACAGTTACGTAAAAAAAGTAAATCTAAAACATGGTTCTGAGTCCGACAGTCAGATAATTTCAGTTGATAGTAGAAACTAAATTCACAAATTTACACTCTGTCTGTCTGTCTGTCTGTCTGTAAATGCAGATGTAGTTCTCTGGAAGAGGTCAGTTTAACTTAAAAACTGACGCTTATGCTTATGACTATATGAATATAATTATCACACCTCTGTTCTTACATTTTGAGTGTTGGAGAAATGCCAGATGTCTACAAGCTCTGTAGAAACAACAACTCGTCTATACAAAGGCATATTCAGTGACGACATCAAGGAACGGAAGTACCTGTAATAAGGCTGTTTAATGACAAGGAAGAAAACGTGTCGAAAGCTCGTGATTTTGTGAAAAAGTGGGAAAGTGTTGTGCCAAAGAGAAAGCAAAGCTAAAAGGGAAAACCAAATCTGATATAAAAGGTCCCCAAAAGAAAAATTTGTCACAAACCGTACGTAAGTATTTCATCCTATTTCAATCCCAAAGTCTGTCGTGCCCAATTCAAATCCACCTGATGACACCAAACAATCCCGCAAGGAAAGCGTGCTTCATTCTAAAATTTACATGCTGATTTCAGAGTTTAGGGAGTTCAATCTAAAAGTAGTAAGGGGATACAGAATATGCCTACTCCTTTATCAGCAATTGGTGCTAAGTGCTCCCATGAAGTCTCTGAACTACTTCTCAAATGGCCTGATATTAAGAACATTATTGATCTAGTAAATTGCTGTAGACACATTCACTTCTTTCTTGGTGATGTGACTAAAGGTGTTCTCTCTGTAATTAGATATGAGACATGCTACCAGTATCTTGAATACAACAAAAATGGTATCCATGGTTTTATCAATACTAAACCTGAACAAGTTGCCAAGAAAGGACTTGGCGGGTAAGTTAATTATGCTTAATCACATAATTCAGCTTACTCATTTGATATACAGTACACAATCAATTGTACTGCATCTTCTATTAAACTTTATGCCTATAAATACTCTGCTAATCAATTTAGACACTGTGGAACACTTGCGACCGGGCTGATAATTAGTGTAGAAAGAACAATTAGTTTTCTTGAAGGTGGATGTCAAGAATTTTATAATTTAAAGACAACCATAAAAAGCCATATTATGCTTGGAAGAGGTCAGTTTCACTACGAAGCTTTGAAGGTAAAAATCACGTTTACAATGATTCAATCAAATTTTTAATTTATTATGTTACAGTACGAGGTTTCATTAACCTGAACTGTACCTGTTGTCATACCAGTATTGTTTAACTAACCTTTGATCATTTTTCAAATTTAGCATGATCAAGAGAAATCAAAGAGGATGGCACGAGCTCGTGCAGTGACTGAAAATTTAATAAGAATCGCCTTAAGCATAGTAAACGTTAAAGCAGCTGCCCTTCATTATGAAACCTTGGTTGCGTCGCATCAGTTGACTGGATCTGATGTTGGAGAGTTTAGCCATGGACAAAAGCAATTCTGAGCTATATTGTGGTGTGCTAATATGTGGATAAATCGCGAGACAGCAAAGTTTCTATCTAGCCCACTGCCATCAACAAAATTGCCACCACACTTCTATGTTTCAAGTGACAAATCCACACCAAGTCGTATAACGAATCATGCAATAATGATATGCTTAATGGTCGATGGCAAGCATTGTGCTATTCCAGTTAATGCGCCTGAGGTATACACTAAAAGTGATGATGATGGAGATGTCTCAGGTGCTGATGCAAAGGAACTAGTAACAAATCTATACAAACAGTTTGAAAATGCTTATTCGTCCATCTCCAAAGAAATGATGAATGGATCTTATCAAGGCACTGTCTGCGATGGTGCTTATCAAGCTGCTGAGTTTGAAGCAACATTAAGAGAGCTCTGCAAACAAGAAGATTCTGGAGACTTTTTTGTCGTGTTGTGGTAACCCTACCAATTAGCACGATTTGCCGGATATGGATATCGGTATCCAGTAAAAAAAAGACATTCGGCAGTACAGTATATGGTGTCTTGCAAAATTTGGCTGGATAATGTATGTAGGCATAACTGTCATATTTCTATATGCAATGTCGTATCTATATGTAATTGTAAACCGTTGTAATTGTCACACTCTCATTGTAATCCCCCTGTTGAAAATTGCAGACTGGCAGTCGAAAGCTCGTAATAATAAATATTTAAAAACCAAAGAACGTCTAAAAACTTATTATGAATAATCCTGGTTTCGCTTCAAATATATTTAAATACTGGAACTTTTATTACAACCATGAAACCAATAAAAAAAATGTTTTGTGCTTTTTTGTGTCAAGAAATTATGAAACAGGGACAATTACTGGATACACGAAATGCAGGAATTGTTTCCGAGATGTAAACTGCTCTCAGATATTAGTTAATTAGGCACATAATTTAAACATTGGACAGCTGTATTATGGGGCAAAATAGTGAAGTATTGTCCAAGTACTACCATTAGAATTCGGTTATATTTTCCCCTAACCTGTATCATGTAGAATAGTATCCAAGTACTATCCCGTATCAGACAAAACAGTATCCGGCACATCTCTATATACCTATACCTAGACTACCTATGATTACTACTCAAATTATTTGTATGATTTTTAAACATTACATATGTAATCACGCAAATGTCCAGACAATTGCTATAGGTTATTGAGACAATGACAGACTCTTTTACAAGCAAGCTGCAATATACACTGTACAAGTAAGTTCAGCCTAGCTACCATGCACATGCATACTTGTACTATTTATGACAACAAAATGTCTATTGCTTTTGAAATTGGTTGCAAAAAACTTACAGCTGCCATGTCACATTTGTTGGCACCTTTTTGCATCATGAATTATATAATTATATACATAAAAAATTAAGAACATACTCATCAAACCACCAATTCCAGTATGGGCATCAGTGATGACTTCCTTTATGTCAATATTTGTACTCATCAACACATCCATACCCTGTTCAAATCCTAACCGTTCCATATTCGTACTCTTCCGTCCTTCCACTTCCCGCACGTCAAGCACATTTTGCTGTAAAATCACCTTATCGTTCATGTCCGCAAGTGTGTATGTACAATATTGGGCACAATGGCCTGGTGAGTCATTTCTTGCATCACCACTTAGAAGGACTTCTTTGGCACTTCTCTCCTCCCATAGGCTTTTTTTCATTGTTTCCCAATAGCTCTGAACAGTAGGCACAATATAAAGTCCTTGATGCTCGTAAAATAAGCTCTTCAAAATGAACCTGAGATTGAGAAATTTAAAAAACAATGCAATTTTTGCAAAGGAATTTCCTGTCAACAGACGACAGGAGGAAAGCAACAAATTTCCAGCTCTTGCTCTATTAAACATTGGCTGTGAGGACCAGATCCCACCAAAATGTCCAGAAGAACATTTCCAACTGATAACCAAACAGCTTCCAACATACACCTTGGTGTAGATCCATTGCTTTGGACAACCACTTATAGAACAAGAGACACCATGTATCGTTTGCAACAGTTCTTGTATCTTGTTTGTGAATACAATACATTTCTCCATCTGTATAAGCTCTAATGTAATGTTGTTTAAAGTGGTCGCAGGTGGTTCTGAATCAATTTCAGGATCTTTATCTCCAAGCAATGTTAGTGCTGTGTCTTCAGAATCTTCATCCCCATCTATTTGAGTGTCAAACACTTCATCTTCGGGGTATGTCTTGTATAAATCGTCAACATTTCTTTGTCTAAAAACAGCAAATGAATATTTTTCTTTCATATGAGGCAACTCCTTTCCCCCCAGTGTTTGCCATTTGACAGCCAGGTAACTCAACTGGTGCTTAGAATAAAATTAAACAGTCAAAGTATTGTTACTCTAATGCAGCTTATTGGTTAGACTACAGTGTGTGATATACAGGGTGTATCAAAATAAACGCAATTCATCTTTTATGCTTAATAACTTTCGAAATACTATTTCTAGTTAAACGCTTTTAGCCTTACTTCAAAGCCTGTTCTTTTCTCTTTCAAACAAACTAATATCCTTGTCTCCAATGCTAGTAATAATTGCACAGGAAAAGATTTAGTAAAACCTATCATTTTTAGTTGCTGTTTAATTATGCAAGTTTACTATGTTATTGTTTAGTCGGTTTAAATGTTAGAATTTTCTTCTTCAAACTTTAATGTTGTCGTCACTACATCTGGAAAACCACGTAAGAACAAATTAAAAGTATTTTAAAAGAGACCAGGTTGTTTGAAAATCCTAAACGAATGCTAAAAATCGTCAAAACATTCTGGTGTCTGAGCCAGAGTGTCATCGAATTGCGATGTAATGTAAACAGAAATTATAGCAAGTTGATGTCAGTCAGCTTAGATGGTCCAAGCCAAAATTATATCGCATTTGAAGTTTCAAACTGAGTTAAAAATAGTGGAAGAAAAGCCGTAATTATACTTATTGTTACAATCCATTTAATAAAATGCAACATTTTTTTGTTTTAATGAAAAAATCAGTTATTTTCATGAGAACGATTTGTTATTCCATCTCAATTTTTTTAATCTCCAATCGCAATAACGTAAAGTATTATTACCCGTGAACCAATGAGTCAAATTTAAGAAACAACCCACTGTTAGAAAGCTGAATGGCTACGCTTTAAAATGAATGTAAACTTTAACGTTTTCGTCTATTATTTGTTTAGCAATTTACATTTCAGTCGAGGATTGCGCTTTTTTTGATACACCCTGTATACTGCTTAGGGGTTAAAATTGTTGGTATCAAACTGTATGTTCTTAATTCAGATGTTGAGCAAAAATATGGCCAAATAGACTGATGACGCCGAGGTTTACTATAACATATAACATGACAACTTGCCCTACTTACAGTAAGTATTTTACTCTTACCTCTCAAAGGAGACGGTACTACAGTAGTACAGTAATGCAATAATGGCATGCAAAAATTATACGATAAATTTGCATATTAACAAATTGAGCTGCAATGCGTCCCAGAGAGCCATTCTTTTTACTTGTGTAACACCAGACAATTTCACTCGTCAACGGGTTAGCCAAAAAATCTCTAGTTAACCCATTGAGATTTCTAGTTAACCCAAATGTCTCTAGTCAACCCATTGAGCCACAATGCACCCTACTTATTCAGTTTTACTTGTCTAATGCCAGATGATTTTACTTGTCAGTGGGAAAGCTATGTAGCTTAATGGGTTAATACCCAGTTGGTCAGTTTAAAAATATCTACATGGACAAGGAATCTGGCATACTATTGTGACCAGTCAAAGATGTAATGTGTGCATCATGATCGTCCATGAATATCTCATCTGAATCCGATTCACTTTCGGCAGATAGAGTGGCTTCATCTTCAATGTCCTGTAATCTACATGCATGACATAAATAGAATTTGTATGACATATTATATACTGAATGAGCTAGGTACAGTAAATGGTCAGTGGCGAAGCCAGCGGTCATGCAGTGCATGACTAAAAATTTCCCCAAAAATGTTTCAAAATCAGTTCAGTATAATTGTTTACAATAGAATTATACTTTATCTTTGCACTTCTATGCCTAAGTATTTATTTATTATTTTGTTTACCCGAATCAGTGGTCTTTAGGTCGATATTTTCGCTAAATATTCTCGTATGTTATTGATTTTAGCTTTGTTACCTTGGCAACTGAGCGGTCCTGCATATTTTCACATGCATGACCGGTTGCGTAAGCGCGTGTAAAACGATTGCGTGTGATTGCTGCGTGGTTTGCTCGCTGTCTGTTTTGGTCATGCATTTTCAGAATTTCATGACTAGCTATATTATTTTATATTAGGTTCGTTGGTTTCTGATTGGCTTACGACGTTCGCGCACGCGCAATGCGGCTGTTTTTGACGGCTTGGTCATGCAATTTTCGATTTGCATGACTAAACGGGCAACATAACCTGATCACAGCCTCTTAGCTCGAAGCTTTCAGCCTGAATGAACACGTCTTCAGGTCATTCAAGCATGTCGACTTCTTCTTTACTCGAAGCTAACAATATTGTTTGGGAATTAGTGAAAAAAAATTTTCTGCTCAGCACAGAATATTTATCACTTATTTACTGAGACCGAGGGAAACAGTGTGTTTTGTGGACCCGAGACCGTTGATGTTTCCCGAGACGAAGCAGAGGGAAACATCGAGGGTCCAAAAAACACACTGCTTTCCCGAGGTCTCAGTAAATAAGTGTTTTATTATTTATCAATAGTCAAAGAAAACAACAAATTAAAGAACAAATGAACGTAAATACATGAAATATTTTATTGTTAAAACGTTAAATTAAACACTGGCTACACTGCAGTTACTTGAAGCGAAAGTTTTAATTACGTACTAGGAATGTCCAAAGGTCGCATCTTCAAGTGATGGCGCATGTGAATTTTTTGTTATTCGCCGGTCGATAACGTATTATCTCCCTCTCGCGCTGTTGCGAGGGAGACAGCCTAATTTTGTCACTCTCACGTGATATGTTCTCAACCAATAAAACACTAGAAAAATGCGACTTTGACTATTGATATATAATATTGTTTATCAAGCAGAGACCAACGCCAGATCTTTCGACATGCCCAATCGGGAAAGGTGTTCAAATGTCGTGGTATTCAAAGAAAGAATGGTATTCAAAGAAAGAATGGTTTAGGCTAAATAAGCTATTAGTATTATTTAGTTATTGTTATTTTGTCTTGAATATTTAAGCTTTGAATCCGAGCATAGGCGTATAAAGCATTGAAGTGCTAGTATAATATGAAATACAATGTCGAGGTCAATGAGTTCTATAAATAGCGCTGCAAGGCTTATACATTTCAACACGCAACACAAATATTTTAGCGATTGTGATTTAGCAACATATTTGATATATACTTGTTTGTGAAACAAAGAAATTTCAATATATATTGTTAAATTGTATTTACCATTTGGTACATACTCCCCGTAAACTGACAGTATGATTTCAACTCGAACATCTGATAATGCCTAATTCCTTTCCGTATCTAATATTGTAATAAATTGGGCGATTGATTTTAAATTAAGGAAATTGATCAAGGCTCATGCGTTATATTTTCCAAGTGACCAAGTCTGCATATTATACCTATATTCTAGATTATACTGAATGTATGGGCAGCTATTTGTCATTATGTATCGAAGAGAAATACACAATTACCGGTATGACTATAATTAGCGGAACTGCAGACAACAGATTTCCTATTTTTGTGTTGATCTTCATTATTGTTGTCTGAAATATGCCAAAATATCCACATCTTTTCCTTCATTAGGTCAAGCTATTTTCCGAAATTTGATGCTCAGATTGCTGCAAATAGCGTTTCTGGGAGTCTATATTTCAAAAATTTTCTGGAGGGGCATGCCCCCGGGCCCCTCTAGGATGTCTCATGCCTTCGGCGCTCGTTTGCATGACCACTCACACGACGCTGCCTTTGCCACTCTAAATGGTTAATAAGTACAGCCTTAGAGCATTCCTTTTAAAAGAAATCAAGGGCAAATCCCTTATCCTCAATTTCTCAAGGGCTCTTAAACAGAGGGGTTCCATTTTTGCTATTAATAGTACAGGGTGAACACAATTGTATCTCATACCTTGACTGACTGGGTGCAGTTATAGTGGAGTCTGAAAGCCGCTGCCGTTTAATACATGGTTCATTTCCAGCATCAAATTTGTCTCCTGACACTGCTTTATAGGAGTGGACATCATCACTACAGTAAATCAGGGGGGGGGGAAACGATAGTTTAATACAGAAAAACACAATCGTGAGTTTAATAATATAAACTATATAAAAATCAGCGATATATAGAAACCCACTTACAAGGCAAGGCTGTCTGTTTGTGATCGGCTCTAAGGAAGTGTCTATTGAAATATCTGGGACCAAAGGCATTTTCAAACTCAAGCTGGATGTGTTTCAAAGGCTCTCCCCATCAGTCTGATCAGCTTGGTTTGTTGACTCTGTTTGTGTTTCTACATCGCTGTTAAAATAAAAGAAACACTATGTATATAATGACAATATTAAAAAAAGTTCATAAATATTTCTCCTCTTACCATAGAAAAACATTCCGTCTGGATAAATGGTTTTCAATAAAAAACTTTGCAAGTTGTTTGTCACTTTGTATCTTCAGTTCATCTCGTATTTGCCTCCAAGCACCGAATTGTTCAAATATATTGATCCTTGATTTTGTTCTTTGCGCCTCGTATGATCTTACTCTTTCTTCAATATTCGTAGGACGTAGTTACTAAAATATGGAACGACCCCACTACGATCCGCAACGACCCCACTACGATCCACAACGATCCACAAGACCCCACGACGACCCAAAACCAGCCACAACGACCCACAACCAGCCACAATGATCCACAACCAGTCAACATCAGTACTTCCACAGCTATTCCCGTTATAGAGAAAATCAGGGCATAGGGAAGCGTAGGGAAATCCATAGGGAAAATTTCTGCATGCGCAAGTGTATCGTCTGTCTTCGTGTTGTTCTGCCGTCTGCGCAAGCCCCATTTAAATTTTGCATTTATTTTTGCTTTTTGTTCATATTGTTTTCATATTATACTGAAAGTAAATATATTTATTAGTACAGTGGTGTATGTCCCGAATGTTATGAACAAAGGTATTCCTCTATCTGTGTGTGTCGATGCTCTCACATTGCTAGCTCATTTATTCTCCGCGTTTTAATCCCACCAGTTTGTGTGAAGATCGGGATTTAATAGGATCGAAAGCTTTGCAATAATAAAATATGTGGTGTATCCACAAACAATAACTTATATTGTTTATTGTCATGCAAAATTGCAACTGAAGGTAATTTTGGGATCATTGTGAGTCGTTGTGGGGTCATTGTGCGTCGTAGTGGGTCATTGTAGGTCATTGTGGGTCGTTGTGGGTCGTTGTGGGGTCGTTGTGGGGTCGTTGTGGGTCATTGTGGATCGTTGTGGGGTCATAGTGGGTCGTTGTGGATCGTTGTGGGGTCGTTGTGGATCGTTGTGGGTCATTCCATGTTGTAGTAACTACAATTCGTAGGAACGGTAGGAGCATTTAAAGTATCTGCTATAGAACTATTCTCACCACTTTCCGCCATATTGCTGTGTCTGATATATTGTTCGGTCCTTGTTTGTTTTCAAGACTTATTAAGTATTCAATTTCGTTCCTCTATATACTTTATGTAATATATAGTGATGTGGTTTGTTTACGGGGTACGTAAACAATGCATGCATGAGCAAATTCAACTGGAATTCATCTATAAGCTTGAAATCGACGGAAATGTGAAAGAAATTGAAATGAATCTTCATAATCTGAGTATTGAAGTTCAATAGAGTCATTTTTATAAAGAAATGTTACAATTAAGAGGATATTTATAATTAGATAGCTCGTATCCATTGATATTCGTTTGCCATTTCTCAATATTTTTCGATGCAAATGGACGGAAGAAGATATTGATATTTAATTCACCCCAGGATACTCAAGTACGCATGAAAATGAAAGTCGAAAACATGTTTTAACACCCTCAATGGTTGATCGAACTTCGCCACAAACGATTATATACAACGCCATATTGGTTGCATTAACTCGCAGAGGGTCAGCACTACATCATAGACAAGATGATCAGAACTGCCGAGACTACAGAGTATTCTACAATGAGACAAAAAATTTCTTAGTTTTGAAAGCATGGTCAAGACTTGGATAATCTTAGAAAGAAATATTTAAATGTATATAGTTTCGTACAGTTTTGTTCTAACTTAGTTAATTTCGTAATTTTGTAAGTAATATTTTGTCCTGTCGAACACGTTATATATTCAAAGTTATATTGCAGTAATGTTTGTAAAATAGTTTGTAGACTTTATGAATACTTTATAATTTATATAATTTGGTAAGCGAAGAGCCACCCTGGATATATTACCAATAAATCATTATTATTATTATTATTAAGATACGTACATACAAGTCAGCAGTATTCCATATTTAAAATTCAAATAAATTAGTGCGCGAAATTGAAAAAAAAGTGTGAAACCGAAGCAATATGGCTTCCATCGAAGAGTATAGATAGTGACCAGTGATAGTGACCGGGTGCTTGTTTGTGCTTCACAAGCAGAAATACTTGAGAAATTTGAAGAGTACAAAATAAAAACAAGTAGTGATTGGAGATGAATCAAATCAAACACACTTTTTGGTAAGTGAACTAATTTCAATATGTAAATTTGTCTTATAAATATTTATACGAATATCGTGTGTGCAATATTTAATATGATTGAATGATCCAAATTTAATATGCATACATAAAACTTTATCGATTTACTGCAGTACTACATTCATATAATAATATTGTATGTCTTTATAAAGGTCAAATGATGCATGTGCTTTAGAATTATATAGTAAATCTTACTGGATTAAAACCTTTCATAAGGGACCACTTATTAATAATGGGGGGTGGGGTGATAGATACCAAATATTGAACATTTTTAGAGCCGCCCCAATCGCAAGACCTTTATTTTCGGATTGTTATTCACTCTGACTCCTATTGTGAACTGCATATACGTATTAACTATGGAAACTACGATTATAGAAAAAAGGTGAAATATTTTGCAATACGATTAAGGCAAGTGGTTGAAAATGAGTAGGAAAGTATTAAAAATTTGTGGTCGCCCCTCGTCACATATTTTGAGGCCACCTCAATTCAGGCAAAAATAGTTGAAGCTCCCCCCCCTTTTCTCACCCACCGCCCTTTTCTCATCCACCGCCCCCCTCAGTGGCGTAATGCTCACTAGGTTCACCAGGTAGGGTTAGTTCAAAAACTAAGGGCCCCCGACAGTTAGGGACCCCCCATCAGCCATGGCCTATCGCCCAGAAACTTAGACTAAAAACGTAAAAAATGCAGGTTACAAATTGATGGCAAAATACAAAATTAATAATGCTAAATAATAAACCCTCCATTGACGACAGTATTCCATCTCAAATAGGATAAAAGTTATTCTTAAAAGTTGTTACATGTGTTGGAGACTGTTATTATCATTGTTATAGACACAGAATTTTCCATTCTACTGATAAATATTCAATATAAATATAAGATCTCAGTCAAACAATAACAGTCAACAGGGTCCCCTATGCCCATGTGCCTAAGGGTCACCTCTTTCTCCATTATGCCACTGGCCCCCTCCATTATTAATGACCGGTGGTCCCTAATCATTCATTATATACATTTCATACAATTTCATATTGATATATATATATATATATATACATCACTGGCTTTTCAAGATACATCAATAAAACACTATAAACAGAAAGTCAGAAACAAGTGCTAATACTAAATGGTAGAAATACACAATCCAGGGTGCATTCCATGTAAATGCCACACCGAAGGTTTTAAAATACAATTTTTTTTACACCAAGAAATTTGAAGTCTCACGCCAGCTGATAATAAACTGAATGTAGGACAATAAGCCGATTTATTATTTTGAGATCATTAAATGATATTAAATAAAGCCTCTTAAACGCGATAAAAAAATCGAGAAGTGCGCCTACTAGCTAAATAAACAATTTACAGCATTCTTTTTCGATAACGATACTCAAACATCGTGTTCAGTTGAAAACGTTTAACTTTAAGAATTAGAAACATTCTCATGATTCATATTAAATGTTTTGTCCCAGAGCCAACGGAGCAAAGCGCCGTGCGAGGGTACTAATTCCCCCCAGCTATTTACACCCAGGGGAACGAAACCATTAGCGAAGTCTAAAGTTCATCAGTTATCGCGGGCATGGGTCACAGTGCATGTTTCAGTGGGTGGTCATCCTCACTGATGTCATAACATAGCAGACTGTCATGAATAGCCAACACCGATTGGTCCAATTTAAAATTGAGATTATAACGGCTGCATGACAACAGCAAAAACAGATTTGATAATTTCTTGCAAATATATTTCATTTTTGCAAGATTTTGTAAATTTCAAAAGATTTTTGATGAAATAAAGGCAAAAGAATTGCTAAAAGAAGGGAGTAAGGTACCGACGTTAACGAAGGTAAGTTTGTTTAAATATTGATGCATTGTTTGCTTTTAATATACTGTAATTACTTTAAAAGCCGATCGTTGCATATAAATATGAAACAAGACAGTGTATTATTTCAGTTCTTCTTTATTGATTACACTTTTTATTATACTAAGCAAAGTTATTTGTATGGGAGAATTTGGAATCATTTTCGAACTCAAAGTTTATCGATGATAAAGGCAGTTTATAATAGTTTTGTTTGTGGAAACACCACATAAATTTATTACTGCAAAGCTTTAAGCCCGGTGTCCCAGGAATATAAGCTCGGAAATCGTGAAGCTTCCTCTAAAACCAAGACCCTAAAAGTGTTTGTCAGTATTTATAGTTGGTTTGCATAATTTATTTGTGTCGAAATTCTTCATTGCGGCCAAGAACTAAAAGTTTGAACGAAAGCGTAATAATAATAATAATGTGCTCTAGTGCAGTCATGCCAGACACATCACACATGGGTATCTGTTGAGCACAACGTTAACTCATAATGGCTTAGCTAGCTTTAAGCTAAGGACACAAAACGATTTTTAGAGATAGGAATTTCTAAGATATTACAAGTTATTTGGATCTATAAAATTCAGTCACATAGTATAAAATTAGTCAGAATAACAACTGCACTTCAGCAAACGATGACATCATGCATTGGCGAATATGTTAATATACATGCGTCTAATAAATAACGGAGTAATTAGCGGTAAAAGTAGACTTTTAAGTGAACGTTTGTTTGAAAAACAAAATCAAATGAGTGGTTATTTCGTAAAAAAAACTTTTCCTATCCATTTTACTTACATACACAAAGTATATATAAATAATCGCTCATATGATTGGGATGCATTACAGAAGCATTCCGTAAAAACGGAAGTAGACTGTATGCTTCATGGCTCACAAAAACATTCCGCACACAGAAAAGCACAAAGGTTTGAATGACTAACAAAACATTCTGTAAACACAAAAGCACAAGCAGGTTTGGATGACTCACAAAAACATTCCGCAAACACGCAAAAAAACAAAGGTTACATGCAGCTACATAAAATCCATCAGTGTTGTAAGCAATTCTCTTGGCCTAATTCTCGTCAGTATTGCAATTCAGTGCAGAATTTTGTTTTGACACAAAAAAATTATGCAAACTAACTATAAATGTTGAGAAAAATTTCTAGAAATTTGGTTGTAGTAGAAGCTTCATGATTTCCGAGCTAAAAGATAAAGTAAACAATAATTTTTTAGAGGGGGCCAAATTTCCCCGGGGGGGGGGGGAAATTTCCTATGACACCGGATCTTCGGAACTATTAAAAGGCAGTTTAGTTCTATATTAAAAGAACATGCTGCACAGAAAGTCAATCAGTCAAGACGTGAATATTTGAGCTCCGACAAAAATGACTAGCTTATGTATAAACCATAAAAAAATTACGTGTAGTTGATCTACGTACAGAACTTGAGAAAAGGGCCCTATGTAGATCTGGACGAAAGGATATATTGATTGAGCGTTTAAAAATGTCGCTTCTCGAAGATGAAAATACGAACAAATCGAGCGAGTTAGCTGACCATGGAGAAGCTACCGTGTTAGACAAAACAACGAAAGCTTCAGAGCAATCAAGTGGGTCTGCCTGTCGGAAAGAATTACTTGTTGAAGATACGTATGAATCAAGCAAGCCTGCCGACCATGGGAAAGCCGATGAGTTGAGCAATACACGGAAAGCTCCAGTCATGCATAATACAGAAACCGACGGGTCAAGGTTACGACTTAATTAAAGACTTAATGCTGCTAATTCACGATAAACTTCCCCAACAAGTCGTAGCAAATGTTAATGCTGATCAACCTGCTGGTGTAGACCATAATTTATCGATAGAAATGGCTGAGGTAAAACTCGAACTGGCTATGTTATGGGCAACGGTCAACTCAAATCAGGACAAATGTATTCAAAGTCAAGACAAAGCTCCCTCCACCCAATTTCATAGTCCATGCTATAAGAATGCAGGCACTCAGACTGTAGAAAGAGAATTTTCTGTTAAACCACCTTGCCATATGACCCCAAAATCATCCATCAACTTTAAAAATCAGCTTAATAGCTACAGGGCGACACATAAAGCAAATTTTGAAAGCCAAAATACCAGGTGAGATCAAGGCAAAACTTCGAAGTCGAAGAATTCTAAACAACCAAATGAAAACAATAAAGTCAGTGAACTGAGACAAAAGATTAAGAAAGTCGAGCTGGAAAGAGAGTCCCTAAAGACAATTATTCAAATTCAGAAAGAAGAATTTAGACAAGCACTAAATTCAAAAGACGACAACAAAATTCAACGCCCATGGCAAGTTATTAAACCTAAACCAATTATCAACCCTAAAAATAAACAGATTGAAAGAGAAGATGAAAAGCAATCTTGAAAACCAGGTCCTGTATCAACTTCAAATAAATACGAAAGCCTAGAAGACAAAATAATCGATGTGGACGAGGTTGCTAACGAAATCGGTGAAGCGTCAAACGTCATTATATCTGAACACAATAAGGAAACAGAAAGCTTGAATAAATCAAATATAAAACGACACGACCCTGTGAAAAATTCTACTGTTGTAATTGGCGATTCTTTACTAAAAGGTCTTCGACAACACTCGATTACGAAAGCTACTAACACCAAAGTACAAGTGAAATGCTTTCCAGGTGCCAAACTCTGCGACATGAAGCACTACAGCATCCCACCCTTGGCCATTGATCCTAAACACATAATTCTACACTGCGGCATGAATCACTTACAAAACAAGAGTCCACAAGAAATAACTAAAGAAACAGGAGAACTATGTGATTTTATTTTCGCAAATTGTCCCAATGCTGATATCACTGTGTCGTCGATACTCACGAGAAAAGATAGTCAAGGTAACAAAATCGCTGAGGTAAATGATCAACTTCGATTGTTATGCTTAGAGAAGAATTTGAAATTTTTATTACATGCAAACATAGATAATAAATATTTAAACCGTTCAGGGCTTCATTTAAACAAACTTGGTGACTCCCCTGTAAGCATACCTGAATATTACTGTTGCGATACCAATAACTTGATTTTGAATGATACCTCCTTAAGCATAAACAAACTTGAGACTTTAAAAGGCTTTCGAATAGCACATTTAAATATCACCTCCCCCCCCTCCCTCCCTCCCTAAATACATTGATCAATTAAGAACATATCTCATTAATAAACCAGTAGATATATTTACGATCAATGAGACAAGATTAGATGAATCTATCAGTGATGAAGAGGTTAATATCAAAGGATATAACCTATATAGAAAAGATAGATGTAGATCGGGAGGTGGTGTGGCTATTTACACCAGGGATGTCTTGAATGCGAGAGAGATGTCCCAATTTGTCCCTAAAGATATTGAAGCGGTTTGCCTCAAGACAGTTAAACATAAAACTAAACCAATCTTAGTTACATCTATTTACTGCCCTCCTAATTCCAAGGCTGACTTTATTAGACGAACAAGATAAAGAACTAATCATTACAGGTGACTTAAACTGTGACACCTCTCTCTCAGTCTTGCAACCCCATTCTTGTAGACTTATGGACATCCTCGAGTTATTTCAAATGAAACAACTGATTGTAGATCCCACGTGCACAACGGGCAACACAGAATCGTTAATTGACATAATCGCAACTAACTGCCCTGATAAAGTAAAAGAAAGCGGTGTGATTGAAATAGGTATTAGCAATCACAGTCTTGTGTATTCATGTCTGAAAATATCAGTACCTTGAGAGAAACCGAAGATCGTTGAAAGCAGAAATCTAAAAAATTATAACGTTAACTGCTTCAATAGCCATCTTTCTCAGTTACTGAGGTACTTGGCTTGGGATCAGAAACATCCAGACCTGTTATGGGATCAGTTCAAACACATATTCAATAGTATATCAGATATTTACGCTCCAGTTAAAACTCGAAAGGTAAGAAATACTTATGCTCCATGGTTAACAACTGACATTAGATGTGAGATGAACATGCAGGATTATCTGAAAAAGAAAGCAGTTAAAAACAACTCTAAAAGCCTTCATCAGGCATATACAGTAAAACGAAATGAAGTGAACAAATTAATTAAATCTGCAAAAGCCCAGTACTGTAAGGATAATATTCAACTAAATAAAGACTATCCTAAAGAGATGTGGAAAAATATTAACCAGGTCATCAACGGAAAAGGTTGGTGTTCTAAAACCACCACCATTACCACAATTAAAGATGATCTGGGTGATATTATCCAGGATGTCAAAGTATGTGTCATTATGACTGTATATACTCATCCAATTTTGTGCTTCATGGCATTACTACAAAGTTCTTTTTAAATATTACATTAAAAGGGTGCTTGAATGGCTATATCACTGTTTCAATCAATTTTACAGAAAAACTTTCTTTCTTATGATAGACCAAATTTGACTCATTTTTATGTGTTCATTAGGGTCTACCGGTATTCTACCCATGATTAAGTTGCATTACTTACATTAAGGTGTGGCCTACTTTATTATTTTACTGACTTTACTCTGTATGCTGTTTCTGTTAAAAGTTTGCTTTGACATTTATCTTTAATCCAGGATTAAACTAACTCTAGATATGCAGGTTCTCATAAAAATTTTAATTGGGATATATATATTACTTAACAATTATTCGCTGAAGGAGAGGTGATTATCGGTGAATAAAAACCGAGACGAAGTCAAGTTTTTTATTGACGATAATCACCGAGCCTGAGGTGAAGAATTGTTTTAGCATAATTTCATAGGTGATTATTTGGAAAAAAAATTAAAAATGCACATTTCTTCGTCTTTCAATTGACAAAACGGCTTCGGCTGCCATTTTGAAAATTGCTTAGGTGATTATCGCGTAATAATCACCTCAACGGTAACCAATCAGCGTGGAGAATTTTCAACAATCACTTATGTAATTATACTAAATTGTGTTATTGTTCACTTGGTAATATGATAAGGAGAAAATGTTTTTGAGTGAGATATTTCATAATTTGCAGACCGTGAAGGCAGAAAACTTTGCCTGCCACTGTTTCGAACCTGCACAGCCTTAGAATTACTAGATTGATGAATTACTAGAATTACTAGATTGATGCTCTAGTAACTGAGCTACATGGTCTGGACTGATCGAAGACTGGAAATTATGAACTTGTATTGTTTGATACTGAATTAATATTTTTGTAAGTCTGTCAAAATATAATACACTCTACAGTTAGATACTGATTGAAGACTTTAGCTTTGAAAATGATTGCATTAATGGTATAGTACTGCGGCTACTGCCTAAATATGTAAGTAGTATGCCATGTTGGATGTGTTATTTGCTAGTCACATTTTAATGTTTGAATTAAAGGTGGAAGTTATGTCAGAAAGTGTTGAACTAGCACTGTGATTTTGACAAGATGTTGGAATTACTGCCATTTTGTTTCAATATTACTGAGCTCACACCAATCATTTAATAGAAAGTAAAATTTAGGTTTCTAGCTAGGGTTTGCTAATGTAGTCCATCAATATATTGAGTTGATTGGAAACATAATGACATAAGATAATTGAATTAGGTTGATACATTTACCACTCTCAGAAGGATGGAAAGCCCTAACTGTTGCAGTTATATTTATAGTGTCTAAACATTCAGGGCTGTACGCAGGATTTTTTCACCAGGGGGGTGGCAGTAAGGCCTATATGCCGAAAAAAGTCCCAAATATCCGAAGTATAATTAATAATGACATTCTAAAAATCGTAAATATGGTTTTCTCTGGGGGGTAGTTGCCCCCTTGCCCCCCCCGGTACGACCCTGTAAACATTATATTTAAAGTGGCACTCACGTCAAAATTTTTATTTTCTTTTGTTTTAAAAACTGTATAGTAACTTGTTTTGAAGATTTTTGTTCCCATGCTTAGCTATTTCATTTTGTTTGTAACCATGTGTGACTCAATTACATATATAAGGAGATATCAGTAATTGTTGTGTATCTTTGCTATTTTTGATGAATTTGTTTAAAAAACAGTATGCTTAATGATCTAGGATAAATCAACTAACGTGCGGCATCTTTGCAAATATTTTGATAAAAAAATAGCAAAGATCTACACAACAATTACTGATATCTCATTATATATGTAATTGAGTCAATGGCGTCACATGGTTACAAACAAAATGAAATATCTAAAACTAAGAAAACAAAAATCCTCCAAACAAGTTACTATACAGTTTTAAGAGCATTTTCGTTGACGAAAATAAACATTTTGACGCGAGTGCCACTTTAAGTAAGGGGGAAAACCGACAAGCGGAAGAAGCTTCGAAGCACAGGAGTTTTCAAGCACGGGAAATTGCTAAATTTAGGTGAATCACCTTGTCTCCAACCAACAGTAAGCAAGCATAGTTCAAAAGTAAAGGCAGGACAAGATATGACAGTTAATCTGGTATACTGTAGTGTGTCTTTAAAACAAGGTGCTATTCAACTCACAGTAGGCAATTAGCCTTTTTCACGGCCGATTTTTCCGCCATTTTTGGGGTACTATCTCTCCTACATTTGAGAGTCTCTGCACCATGAAATCAGGCCTTAAAGTATCGGTCGGTCACGGTCATTGTCCGACCCATTCGTGAAATTGTCCGACGTAGAGAGGAAACCACCGGACATTCTGTCGGACCTAAGTGAAACTGAGGTTTATTGTTTGTCCGACCTGAGTGTATTGGTGTCCGACCGAACTGTAGCTTTTGTCCGACATGTAAATCAAAATGTACCCTAGCCCAGGACTAGAGGCTTGTATGTTAAATGGGAAATCAGAGTACTATTGTATAAAAGGTGAACTGGAAATGTTGTTTTAACGTAGTCCAGCGCGGGGCGGCGAACGAAATGGTGAAGAGGAAAACGGGCTTAAGTTGTCGAAGTCCTTTTTAATACTGCTGTTCTGGCAAGCAAGTTAATTTTGGCTTGGAAATAAGTATGAAAGAAACAAATTATTTAATATCTTTACAACATTTACTGTTTATTCATTTGTGTCATTCAGACTTATTTCCGAGCCAAAACTGAACTGAAGGTCATCGGACATATGTCCAACCCAAACTCAACATCACCGGACATTTTGTCAGACGGCCCTGTAAAATATATTTTAAGGCCTGGAAATACGGCTTTTTGGTATTGTATATAGTTCTTTGTATAATTGTAAATTTACAGTTACAACTTAAAAAGACGCTTTTCACGTTGTTTGAATTGTCTAACCCAACCCTAGTTTTAACACCATCTGACTGTTTTATCTTTTAACCTACTTTTAATTATACCTCAAACTATTATGTGTTCCTTACACGAAGTAGTGACACTTAAAACCACAAAAAACCTGCAAATTTGTTCCATGGGATATAACTTCATGTCGCGCTGTTTTGTGTGAATCAGGGTAAGGATTATGGTCAGCATTCATTAACAGCGACACATGAATCTATAACACATTTTGAATCTATAAATCTTTTTGTATCGTGCTATAGCACAAATAACCCATAGGCTTCTTAACTGCTTCCCATGCAGCCTATGGGAATTCCCAAGTGTTTATCTTCAAGGAGTGATGTTACGGCAATGTAGAGGAAAAGTTATGCTTCGCATAAATGGCGTATTAATTGGCAGACTACATGTCGGCCGTCCCTAAACAACTTCTATTTTTTGTATTCAGGCCAGAATTCTCAACTACCATCACGATTCGCATATTGTTGTGTTCGTTTGCCATAAGAGGCAACACCTTCACGACATATGGAACTCCAGGAATTGGGGAGGAATTTATTGGCACAGAAGAAAACCCTACAGCAACTGGAGAAGCTGTTTTTGATGTATTTTGTAATTACACCAAACGTATGTTGTTTTTTTTAATAAATAGCGTTTTGATATGGTAATAGATTACAGCAAAGTAACGACTACTAAATAGACAAATTAGATTTGCAGGAATGCCGATAAAACTGTGTAAAAAGAATTTGCTGAGGCACACAACCACTTACACAAAAAAATTATATTTAAATCTTGCACATGTATTTGGAATATTACATATTGTTCATGAATATTTTGAATTTTTAGAGCAATTGAGTAAAGAGGAAAATAATTCTACCGGCATGGCAGCAGAAGCAACGACCATTGTGTGACAAACTGGCACACACGGCACTTCAGATAACGATGATCCGTCGTCAAAAACACCTTCCGTAACTAGGCAAGTCCCCAAAGCACCTGAAACCACAATCTCCTCTTTACCATTGGTCCCACCTCAACACTGTGTCAGTCCTACACACCCTCCATCTTCATCATGTAATCCACTTTCCATAACTAGTCAAACTACCAGAGTACCTTAATCCACAGTTTCGTCTTCACCCTCGGATCCACCTCAACATATCAATTCTGCACACCCTCCATGTTCATCACCGTCAATATCCGCCGTGGTACAATCCTCCATAATGGCCAAACCTGCAATTGCTGAAAGCATGCCTGCACGTACCCTTCCTTTTCAACAACCTGCGCTTCCAGATCCACCAGAGGGTAAATAAAATCTTACCACTATAAATGCAGATATATGGCGCAGTCATGATTGAACAGGAATTGTTTGGTGCATCTGAAGAAAAAAAAACGTAGCCATATAGATTAGTTTATTACTATTTCATTTTGTCATACACAACATGTCCAATGTTTGGAAATCCGTAGAACAAATATTTACTGTTCCAGTTTTAGTAACTTATTGTAGATTCATTTGTGGATTTCTGGTTCTTACCAAAGCAAACAGGTTGTGTGCAATTTTTATCCTTTAAAGCTTTGTTAATTATAATGTCCACAGCTAGTTTAATCCAGGCTGTCTTTCAATATATTGTATACATCAAAATTAAAAAACACAAACATGGGTTGAGCCAAAAACACAAAAAAAACATGATGTAGATATTAGGAAATATGGATGAGGTATGGTAGACGTATTGTTTTGTAAAAAAAAATGCTCCATCAAATGAGATATGCCTCCGCAAGTTTGAGGTTTTATGTTTGTAAAGATCATGATTGTAAAGATTGATTTTTAGAACTTTCTGAGGACAAGCTATATATATTTTGTGTAATGCTTATATTTTGTTTGTTTTCACTTAGATGCTGTAGTCATAGTGGACAAAGGAAAGTTTGTTGGGATGGGAAAGGTTGTGGACCTTCCCACAATCCATGGAACCGTTTTTTGCATCAAAACATGTTCTATGCTATTCCAGACTCGATGCTTAAACGTTTTCTGAAAAAAGATAGCAAGTACTTTCTTTTACTATGAAGTTAAACATTTGTGTTGGTAAAACGTGGTCTTGCACCTTGCCATTATTTATAAATAACGAGTCCCTCGAAAAAAGTAGATTTACATTACAGCATGTAGTCTAACATGTAGAATTAGCTAAAATATCTTCGAATTTGGACGATTGTTTGGATACACATACTTTCGAGATATGGTCTGGAAACTCGGTAAACTTTAAAGTT